GAATGCCTGTTGTCAAGTGAAACACCCACTCCTGAAACACCTTCATTCCTCTCCAGAAGGTCATGGCTGTTAGAGCTTCCTCCTCCAGACATTTCCCCATCTGGCTAAGACACAGTTCCTCCACGAGGCCCAACTTTGAGTCATCCAACATTCACCAACTCTTCTCAGGCTACAATCCAGACAGGTGAACGACTACGCTTCCGGATGTGAACAAGCCAAAGCTTCTGCTTCTTTTCTACATCTTGCCCATATATTTAATTTAAATTTTTTCAAATTATGCATTTCGAAAAGAACCTGGACGTGCTCACCTTGCATTTAACAGGATCGTGCCAGTTTTCACCGCAGTTAAAGCTGCAAGGGAAAGAAGGGGGAAAATAAGCAAATAAGGCAGATGATTATATTTTTATTTATCCAGATTAGCACTGTGGAAGTTTTCTTTTGGGTTGTTCTGCTGACAAAGTCCTAAGGAAACATTATACATGTCAAAAAAAAAACAACCCCAAATCCTCAAATCCCTCAACAGCCATTTCCAAGCAGTATATATCTCAATGCATTTCAATTCTCTGCAGTGCCTGCAGTCAACCTCTTCTAATTTGAAAACACTCAGCTGAAGGCCATCCCTCAGAGAAAGCTGAATCTGTCTCCATGTCCAAGGAGACCCACAAGAGCAATCACGGCATCATGATGGGCTTTGTAATCAGCTCTACCTAATCCTGTCTCAGCATCAGAAACTCACCCTGCACTTCTCCCACCATCTAAACCACATTCCAACATCAAGAGTTGTGTTGTGTTTCCAGGTAGTTAGTAAAAAGCAGCATCCACATCTTTTACTCCATTGTTCTTACCAAAACTGACGTCCACATTTGCAGCGAACGGGTTTAGCATCCGGATATTGGACTTTAACAACGTGGTGGCAATCGGGGGCAGGACACCATTTTAGCAGTCGATTACACTACAAAACAAACCCAAAAAAAAACATGCTAGAAAAAGGACACTTGAAGAAGAGTGAGAAAAGCACCCGTGGAGTTGTTTGCAACTCCCACCTCTGCTGTACTGCTGCCACAGCCCAAGACCTCTCCCACAGCACACACAGCAGCTTTGGACAAGCACCATGTTCTAGCACCCCTCAAACATCACCTCATTGCCTGTTCCTGCTCTCCTGCAGCCAGAGCTGGGTCTGCACTGCTAGGCTTTTGTTTGTCTTACAGCCTGCAGTATGGGCTTAGCTCCAGTGCTGTACAAAAAAAACCCCAAACCACAGCACATATCACATCAAGCAAGGAGCAGAAGTTTGACCCCAGTAACAAGACCTACTGGGCTCTCCAGTGAATCTGAACAAGTACAACTGGGAAACTTGAGACAGTGCAAAGATCTCCCAAAGTACCTTTCCCCAACTTTATTTTGCTTTTGAGGTTGCAAAAGCTATCAGTATTTTGTTAAAAGCAATTTTATATATTGAACAGCTCTTGCACTGTCTTCTCTTGCTCTATCTCTAAGTCTTTCGTCCTCCAGATTTTTCTAGTTTCCTACAACTACACCTGTAACTAAACAGGCTATAAAATAACCCCTGCAAAGCCTCCAACTAGTAGTTACACGATTAGAAACTGCTCAAAAAACTGCTCTGTGGTTAGAAACAAGCCTCACTTGTCTGGTTTGGTGCATGTGAGAAAACAATGACCTAGAAGCCATAAAAATTTTCAAATAAGAACTCACCTCTACAAAACTATTGGTTATTAAATGCTGGTACTTTAATTTAACCTTGGAATCTGTGATCAGACGCCTGTGGAAAGGGAAGAAACACAGACAAGTTATCACAGTAGAAAACTTGTTTTTTCCGTATTTAGCCAGTAAGTTAAGCCAGGTAAAGGGGTTTGATTCCTCCTCCTACACTTGCAGGTGCATTTTTTATTTACCCATTCTCAACTGATTTGTTAGATCATTTATTATAGTATTACGAGAACTTCAAATATTTTATTTAACTTCTCATATGAGCTTCAGAATCTCACAAAAACCTCATGCAGGTCAAATGAACTGAACCCTGGTGTGGGGATTTTTATTTCAAAATGTTTTCCTGAAAAGCCCAAGAAACAAAAGGAGAATCCCAGTTTAAGTAGTTCATTTATATTAAACATGCACATTTTGCAGCAAATTCCTTTCTAAAGCTCCAGCACAGCAGTTGTGCTGTTAACCTGAGTAGACCTAATGTCATCTGGGTTTCAGGGGAATGCTGTTAAGTTTAAACTTAACATTGTTTTCATCTATTGGCCATAAAACCAAAACCAATTTAAATTTAACATCATAGAGGATGTGCCAAACAACACTGACTTTAAAAAGACTCTCCAAAAAGAAAACTCAAAGGAGCCAGGTTGGAAAAGCAAACTGCTTAAAGAAAACCCTTAACCTTGAGCTGTCAGAAGAACTCAAGTTTGGAACTACCCAAGCTCAAAAATTCATCCAGAGATAGCAGCAGTCCTTTATTAGACCACAAAAAGCTTGAGGTAAGATCACAGAATCACAGAACAGTGGGGTTGGAAGGGACCTCTGGATATCATCTCATCCAACCCCCCTGCTCCAGCAGGTCACCCACAGCAGGGTGCCCAGGATGGTGTCCAGGTGGGTTTGGAATCTCTCCAGAGAAGGAGACTCCACAACTTCTCTGGGCAGCCTGCTCCAGGCTCCAACATGCTGACATGAACCCTGGGACAGGCTGACACGCTGATGTGATAAGGAAGTAGAGCAGAGAACTTGCTCTGCATGGTCAGTGTGTGATTCTGCCATTCAAGGAGAGTGAGGAACCAAGGAAGAGTCACCATGACCACCACAGAAGTCCAGGGGACCAACGAAGATTTGCCACGACTTGCTTGTAAAAAGTAGATAAATCACATCCGTGCAAAAAATAAACATGTTAGCTTCACTCCTGAACTGGGTCTGTGTAATCAGCTGCCACACTCAACAGCCCCAGGGCTCCCAGCTCAGCTCCAGGGCATCAGCTCAGAGATGCTCCAGTTCCCTCAGCATCTTCATAGCCAGTCGCCTCAGCATCTTTGTTACCTCAACAGCTGGACCCTCTCCAGTAGTTCCGTGTCCCTCTTGAAGTGGGGAGCCCAGAACTGGACACAGTACTCCAGATGTGGCCTCACAGAGGGGAGAAGAACCTCCCTCAACTACCAAGACTCTCAGGGTCCTTCTCCATGGAGAAGGGAGCAAATTACTAACTTGGCCTATCTCCTTTGATGAAACTGATGTCTCTATACATTGCACATAAGGTTCTTGCAGCTTGGAAACCTAGAGCTGGAGGAGCTTTTATAAAAAGGAAAAGACCTAAGAAGGGAATAATTAAGGACACGGAAGAGGGTGCAGATTCCAGGTGGGATTACTTACATTTTGACTCATACCATTTCATAAGACCTCCACAGTTGTCCATCTTTACTTTGAAAGAAAACCATCAGGCTTTGGCCAAAAAATGCCACCTCCCTCCCACAGACATTCCAGGTACTCCTGGTACGATCAGGGAAAGGTGCATTTTTACCTTCACTAAATGTTTATAGTCTGACTTGGACAAAGGCAACTTCTCTGCTTTATCACATAGATGCTCCAGAGATCTACCTCTGCCACTTCTAGGCAAGGAAGAATCCCACAGCACATGGCACGAGGTGCAAACCACAGAGACCCACCCCAGTGGCATGGTTTTCTGTGCTAGAAAAGCCATGAAGTGCAACACAAGGGTAGGCAGAGCTCCTACTGGTAGCAAGCAATAGCAACAGAAGCCATAGCAACAAGAAAACCAACACTGCTCTCCTCTTCTTCCACCCTTTCCTTGCTACTGCTACCACCACAGAATTCCAGCCATCCTGCTTCCCATGTGCTATTTGAACAGCTTCTTCCAACTGTCACCATCAAGAAAAACCTCAAGAAATTTCCTGCTGAGAGTGTTTGACACCACGAGTTCAGACTCCGATAAACAAAAATCTCCATCCAGTCACTGAGGGTATTATGCCAACTTCAGCTCAGTTTCCACCCCCTGAACCCTACAGACCACCCCTCAACGAGGGCATGGCAACATTTCAGCTACTTCCCCTTCTATGCAGCCTACGCTTCATGACTAACGTGGAGCCACTGGTGCAGAGGAATCTGGGAAATCACTCATCTGAAAGCAACCGATATAAAACCCAGCAAATTAGTATCAATGAGTGAGTCAGACTTCAGGAAGGAAGGAATAAGGTAACAGAATAAGCTTCTATTTAGATGCTTCTGAGCATGAAGAATTAAAATTATCTTAATCAAGGTTCAGAAGGATGAAGGATATTACTCATGCAATAACATCACCCAATCTAAAAGTAAAGGAAGCTGGTGGAATTCACAGCTCCACCATGGACAAGCAGTCATCCTACAGCTGGACAACTTAATAAGCAAAGTGACCCAGGCTGACATACCAGCTTCAGCACATCTCATGTTTGAGGGTCAATTGCTTTCTATCAGAGAGCATCAATCACACCCTGCACCACACCAGATGCAAGACTTCTTTCCTCTGACTCACCTATTAACTATAGCCATAGGACCTGGTGAACCAGTGGGTTGACCTAGGTAGGAAGTCCTAAATTCCTACGTAAATCAAAGGAAACAAAATGCACAAAGTGGCTAAAAAGGGTTTGGAAGGGCTGCCTGGTGTTTATCCTGCTGTCATGATGCCCAAACGGGTCGAGGAGTCTTCCCTCCAAGTTCTGTGGCAGGGGGTTTTCAGACCTTTTCTACTTCCAGCTAAACTTTCAAGAAATTAAGAGACATGCTGCTGTCACAAGAGGTCAAGACTGACCTGTGTGCTGCCTTGCAGCCTCTATGTTGCAGTTTTTTTTAATCACATTTGAATGGCACAGGACTAACAAACGGAAAAAGAAGAGCGGAAAACCAATAGGTAGCAGCTCATGATACTTACATAACAGTATTGTCATCAACTAAGATATCACAGCCATGAGCAGGGCATGAAATGGTCTGAAAAAAAAGCCCAAAAAGTCATAAAAGGAACAGTGTTTACCCTATTTTGGCATCACAAAGAGTTCCCAAACAACAGATTTCACCACAACCCACGGCACAGTACCTTTACTCCACCACACATCCCAGATGTGTCACCACGTGATTCCTCCCACCCAGAGCAAAGCTACTAGCTCCATGTAGCTTCCCCCAGGACAAAGACTGCAGCCCCCCAAGCTTTGAGGCTTAGGTCTCATGGTTGTTCTTGTGGGTTTTTTTAAGCTTTAGTGTGGATGACTTTGCCCCTGTCCTTCCCTCTCCTCTCCAGAATTCCCAGAAATAAGTCGTGAGGGGTAGGTGAGGTGATGTTTTACCTGTCCCATGCCTTCCTCCATTATTTTGGTAGTTAAATATTCGCTCCAGCACTGCATACAGAACTTGTGTCCACACTCTAGGCCAGTAAAGTACTGCAACAACAAAAAACACTAGACATGGTATCATTCCACCACGTGGACTCACCCGACCACTTCCCTGTGCAGCTCCCCTTTCATCCCCCAGCCCAAACTGGAGACGTGACTATTTTATTCTGCATCCATAATGAGCTGTTCCAAATCAGGTTCAGGACCTTGAACTTGGCCTTGTTGAACCTCATGAGGTTCACACAGGCCCACATCTCCAGCTTGTCCAGGTATGCATAAAGTTTCCCAACTTGTTTGGTAAGCTTCCCCTTGAAGCCTAGACACTCATCAGATGAAGACAGTGAAGATCCTAATTGGCAGGCATAAATTACTGAAGAAAATCCAGTATTAATTAGCAGTTGCAGACAGCAGCAAGGGCAACTTCATCCGTGTATGTATCATCTACACAGAGTACATCTAGATATCTGGGATTGAACTCCAGGGCTGGAGGAGCAAACACTGCTTAGGGAAGACGGGAATTAAGTTACTTTTCTTGGGTCATCTTGAAGTTCTTTCATGCTCAGAGGGTAAGGACAAATGATATTTCAATAGTTCACCAATTTCACTGTGCAGGTTACGATGGCTTTGCTTTGCAAACCACCTTATTCTCAGCCAATAAGATAAAACAAGAGCCCCACCCTGATACCATGGACTTGGGTGAAGCTCCACAAACAAAAGAACCCTGGTATCCTCTGCACAACAGCAGGATGCTATCAATTAAGGAGAGTCCATTTTAAGAAAATGTTCTTTCCAAACTGCCTCCTTAACCATTAGACTCAAGATCACAGCCACCACATTGACCATTTTGCTCATCTAACTGGGAGTGTGAACTAGGATTCACTTATGTTTTGATGCTGAAGCTCAGGATTTTGAGGATTTGAGTGCTGAAGCACTCAAGCTTCCTTTCCTTCAGTAATGATGACAACATTGACAAAGTCATCTGTTTGGACAACACCATGGTGTTCTCCTGACACCCCCAACCCAGCAGCCTTGCTCTGAAGTAGGCCATGAAGGGTGAGATGCAGGAGAGGAGGTAGGCAAAGCCATGACCCTCTCAATTCCTGTCTTCACCAATAAGGGTTTCACCCAAAATAACTATTGGGCCTCCATGCTGGTTCATAGGGACACAGAGGGACTGAGTCTCAAGAGAAGTCTTGCAGAATTTCTTCAGCTTTTCAGAGATTGAAAGGGGCTCTCAAAAAAAAAAAAATACAGCTTTTTCTGAGGGGTAGGAATAAACTAAACTATTGCAAGAGGATTTAAAAGCTGAGGTTTTAGGTTAGATATCAAAAATAACTTACCCTATAATTTGTAATCCACATGAAATCTAAATTTGAAGTTTCTAAGAGGACCTTTTCTGGAGAGGGACACTAGGAAGCTAAAGATGTCTCCTTCCATTTTTCCCCCTTCAGTCCTTCTCCTGCTTTATTAAAAATGCTGCAGAGCCTAAAATCAAAATTATTTCCTTACTACCTAACATGGAAAATCCTCAGGGAATTAAACAGTAGGATTTTAGAATCACGCAGAGGGCCAAACAATTTCTCAAGCCTGTCTTTTTTTTTCCCAAGCACCCCTTTATGCAGAGCAAGCACCACCTTCCCTTTGCAGCTACTCTCTAAAAAGGAAGTCAGTTTTACTCTAGACTTCCTATTTTATATCATTATTTATGACTTCTATAAGCTGTGTCCCTCTGGTCATTCCAGTTCAGTAAATCCCTTTGCCCATTGTGCTTTCCGTATGTTTTGCTCTGCACACCAAGTCCTTCCGCATCCAAAAAGGTACGTTGCAGGCTGTGAAATTTGGGGCATTAGTGCTCAGAGAGCCCCTCAGGTGCCAGGTACTCACCGAGTTTGGATAGTTCAGGTAGCAGATCTGACAAGGCATGTCCTGGGCTGATGACCTCGTGTTCATCTGGCGCGTTCGAGACTTTTTACTTGGATTAATTACGTGACACTCTGCAAAGAGCTTCTCCAAGTTGCCATCAAAGTACCTGCATAACACATAAAGGGTATAAAAATTTAACTGCCTGCCCTCAAAGGTCTTTTTTTTTTTAAAAAAAATCTTATTTGGGAGTTAAACCTATAAAGTTGGTTTTAATATTTCCAAACCTTCACACATCCACTACTTTTCACAAACTCTTCACTATTATAATGCAACACGGCCCTGACCACAGAGGTGGGGGACATCAGACATCATCTCAGATTCTAGCTCCTGAAAATTCAGGTACCTTCTATTCTTCAGCTGCATTTCAACTAATTCATGATTTTCCACAGCAACTGCTTTGCATTAAAACTCCAGGACAAGAAACTAGAGTGAGAGGGTCCTGCTTCACAGCCCAGGCATCAAGACACCTTCCTAAAGCACAGCTTTGATGCCCCCAAGTTTAAGTCTCTTTTTAGCTCGAGCCTTCCCTCTTTTCCTCATCTTCTAATCACCACAACATCAAAGAGGCAGGAAGCAGCAATCAGTCAGAGCTTGTGATTCAGCAGGTCCCTAGTTCCCCTCTTTCATGTTTTCCTTTGTGCACTCAGTCTACACTAAGTGTGCCCCAGAGAGGTCCAGACTTCAGTTTTGGCCCTTCCTTCTCCAGTCTAAGGAGCAATGCATCAGCAGAGGCAGACTCTTGGTTCAGCTGATGGAGCGTTTATGCCTGGTCACCAGTCTCCACTTCAGGCAACTGCAGGATTGCCTCTCACCCACCTCAGTCCTCTCCAGAGTCTGGGAACAACCCCTGCTAGGGCTGGACTCTCATCTCCACTTGGGCTAGTCTTCAGTTCCACACTAAATAGCTTGCCCACGGCCAAAGCCTGTAGAGTCCACTTCTTGGATAAAAATCCCAGCCACTGGCATAGCTTCTGTCTCCTCTCTACCTGAGGTATTTTAACAGCCTTCCAAGAAAATACAATTCCAGGTTTACAGTGCTTCCAAGGATTAGGTAACTCACGGAAAGGAGGAATACAAATTGGCTGGGGTGGAGGGAAGACAAAAGATCATTTTCTATTTCCTATTCCCTTCAGGGGGAAAAAAAAAAAAAAAAATAAAAAAATTACTGCTTTGGTTTACAGGCTTACAGAAAGCTCTTCAACTTGCTGAAGAGGACCAGATTTGAAAGAATCATTAGCAGGCAGGTCAGACCCTTCCACCATCCAGCCACCACGTATCTTTGTCCAGCCTGCAGCAGCTGCAAAGAACTAATTAAATCTGACAATTAACCAGCTAACCTGACCTGCATGTACATCCCCCATTCAAATCCAGTAAACAAGTCATCCCCCTGCATCATCATCATCAAGTTACATCCAAGTAAGGTGGCACCAATCTAGGGAAAAAAACCCACATTTGACCATCATGCAGTCACTTAGATTTAAGACCAGCAAATTTACTCCCAGGAGACAACTGTCCCTGCCAAGCACATAGTTAAACTCATCACAAACCAGAAGCTGCTGTTTGTCAACAGATAGAAGAAAAACAGGAGTTTCTGCTAGGGATAGAAGTTACCAGGTATGTCTCAAAGATAGAGGACTATGCCTGAGATACATCACCTATCCAAAGCACCTCTGGTTTGACCATCGCATCTTGCAGTATTCCCAAAGAGTCCCAAATCATTTTGCCTTTTTAACTTTGCTGCACTCTTTGTGCTTCAAATATTCACTCCCCTCTTTGGGACTGCCACTTGTAAACCTCACTAGTACAAACAGGGTGCTGGGTCTCTCTCCTTCCACACACTGTTGCGTTTTTTTTAAAGCATTTGCTTGCTTTGCTGTGCCACTGTGCCGAGCAAGTCCTTTCCACAAATATTTGCACATAAGTGTCTCAGGCTCAAACCCATGCTGCATTCACTGGGCAAGAAGAAAATTAAGAAATCTAGGAAATGCAGACGAAAACCAGGATCTCCCTGAAAATACACAGTTCCAATGGTTACGCCAGAGTAAAGTCCAGCACCTCTGCAAGTGCTCCACCACTCCTTACGCAAACACACTGAGGGCCCAGCAGGAAGCCTGTTCCAGTTCCCTCCATGGTTTGGAAACAGCCCAGTTCCAATCACCACGCCTTTTATTCCACTTCTTCAAGCACCAACACAGACCGGCCAGTTCAGCACATCTCCCTCTGCCCTTCCCATGGTCTTCAGCCAAGGGATTCACAGGCAGCAGCTGCAGCTGCCTCTCCACACACAGCAGATAAGCTTCTCACATGACATTTCTCCACCTCCCCGTTCCAGCAAACCTCCTCAAGCACCCGGTTCCATTTCCATCCATCCTCTTTGAACCCAAGCAGCCCAAAGCAAAAGCAAAACTAGTTAAGATTTCACCAATCTCATACAATTTCACCTCTTTCTCCTCCAGATCTCACCTAATGCAGTCCAAACGATGCCTACTTTTCTCCAGAGCTCCTTCATGTTAGCAGTTCCACTGTAACCTCTACTTAAAGAAAAACATTCCTTTCCCTCTGTGTTGACTGGACCTATTGTGACATTTTGTACCAACATCCTCCCAACTGTCAACTATTTTGACACCTGTATCCTCCTCTGAACCAAATGTCTCCAAAAGAGACTTGTGCCAAGTCACTCATGAACACTAACAAACATTCACCCCAAAATTAACTGATAAGAGGCTTACTAACAGGTTCCACCTAGTCTGCAACCTCCCTTTTGAGCAAAGTAACTGTTTGCACAACATACTAATAGCTAAGTCCAACGTATGCCCCATATTTTATAGAATACAGTTGCATGCTACCATCTCTGGTGGGAGGAAAATCCTTTAATTCCCTCCTCACTTCCTCCACAACTCCAGGATTTTCTGGATTTTCTTCTCCTCCTCCAGGGTGTTCTGGATTTTCATTCCCCCCCCCCTCCTCCTCCAGGGTTTTCTGGATTTTCTTCTTCCTCCTCCTCGCTCTTCTGGTTTATTCCTCCTCCTCCAGGGCTTTCTGGATTTTTCTCTCCTCCTCCAGGGTCTTGGATTTTTATTCCTCCTCCTCCTCCAGGGTCTTCTGGATTTTTCCTCAAGTTGTCGCTATTAAAGGGTTGCTTTTTGGTAGCTCAGTTCTTATTTTCATCTTGGGGAAGGGCACAGCACTTCTAACAGCCTTACAAATCCTCTGCCCTCCTCTCCCTTTGCAATGCAGATATTCAGCAACCATAGCACCTCCGATACTGGAGAAATGTTATCATCTGTTGAACTAACACAAGACTTTGCTCAATGGAGCTGACTTACAACTGCTTCTATTAGTTTTTCAGAAAACATTCTCTTCATCACAAAGTTGTTGTCTCTTCTACTTTAAAATGAATAGCTACATCAGCAAATTATTTTCAAGTTCTTCTATAATTTCTTCACTGCTCACCAAATCCATAATATCAAGTGTTTTTGGCAGAGGGATCAAGCTGTCAGCTTCTTTATTTCCTCAAAATTTCCTCCTGCAGTTGGTAACCACCTCATCATGATTCTCCAGACATAATCAAATCCTACCGAAGGGACTAGCAAAGATAAAAAGCTTTTTCACTGACAACAAATGCTCCTAGTAGATACTCTGGGACATTTGCTTTAGTGAAAGAGCCATTTGTGCATGTCAGAGGATTGGCAGAGTCACAGTAAAAGATTTTTGACCTGTTTGGCCTCTGCTGAACAGTGCTAAGTACTTATTTGCCCAAAGGAAAGTAGACAGCCAGGTACCTACAGAGAAGTGAGACCCTGAACGTAAGGGGAAGAGGCAATCTGGGCTAGCAGCCAAGGCACCAGAGCCATCCTGGCATCCACCCTCTGCTCAGAGGCATGTGGCCACCAAGATAAGCGCCCACAAGGGACTGCAGTACACCTCTGTCTCACTTTAATGTCAGCGATTAAACTGGGCCTGTGGTTACAGGCTGAAATACTTTTCTTTTTAAAAAATTACCACAAAGCAGGAGAGCTGCATTTTAGTCTCTTCATCACAAGAGGAGGTTCATTCTCCAAACTCCCCCAAGGAGGGATAGATGCTATCAGTAAATGGGAAGGTAATCAAGATGAAGTTTTAAGATAAGGCACTACACTTATTTCTGAGGTTACCTGGTCAATCTGCACTTGCTAGACTCCTGTCTCTATTAACCAAGCTCATGAGACAGAGGAAAACAATAGTTAACACCTTTATTTTCCAAAAAGGTGTGCAGAGTATCAGAAGCTGAACTCAAGTACTCCCTCTGCTACCCACTTCCAAGCTGCAAACAAATCCTCCCCAAACTCCCAGTTTTATCTGGGGACACAGTCAAATAATCAGTGCTTCACCAGTGGGACAGGGCAGTTCAACCAAGGTTATTACCTCATCAGAAGTGGAATAAATACCTGTACTGGATCTGCCCTCTGAATAACTCCATGCAATTATTCCAGGACAAGGCTGGCAAAGACAATAACCACCCTCTTATTAAAAATATCCATAACGATACTAAAAAAGCCATGAAGAGGTTTTCACCTTCTAAAACAGGGAAATTGTCATCTCAGGAGCTCAGACCTCACCAAGATCAACGCTTACCAAAAAAAAAAAAATTAAGCCACTCTGTTTATCTGCTTTACTACAGGCAAAGTTTGATAAGGCTGTGCCTGTCAGGTCATGCTGACTCAGGATGGATTAAGGTAAAACAGACACTGCCTAGGTACTCTAAATATACATCACTAAGCAAGCTCTGACTTGGTAGGAGGTCTAGCATCAAAAATTGCACCCAAACATTACAGTTCAGCAAGCACTAAACCCACCCAGACTGCAGGCAGCAACAGAAATTTCCTGGGAAGTCTTCCTAATAATTATTAGGAATAAAAGAGGACAAATTTATAGCAGTTCAACTGTTTAAAGCAAGAATCCTTCAGGAAAAAAAAAAATTATATATACGTTTCAAATGCTGTTCCAGAAAAAAATACTGTGTGAGCCAGCACACGAATCCAGCTCTTAGTGAGCTGGACATTTCAACACAAGACTTTGAGTCAAACACTGAAGACACAGTGAATGGACAGTGTTACTTTCAAGTAAAATCTCATTTGGGGGAGTTTTCCTTTAGAAGAAGTGTTGAAATTTACTTTTTTTTTCCCCAATTAGAGCATGCCTCTCCACCTCAGCATGAATGCTCCCTGGGGTTTTTCAGCTCCTTTACACTAACTGCTGCAATAATGTTTGCTGGACACACACAGAACCAAGCAAGTCTCCAAAGTGATCTCTGAACAACAGCCAAGCCTAAATTTGTGCTTAATCAGCTTGTCATGGTCCTCTAAATAAGAATAATTTCTATCTTCATGAAAAGATGTGGCATGTAGCAAGCTCAGGGCATCATTTCCAGCTTTATCACTTTTTCAAATAGATTGTTTTGCATCCTGGCTACTGCAGTGACTACCTGCCTCCCACCTTTGTCTTAACCTATCACTGCAGCAATCACAAAATCTTCTTGAATGCCAAGAAGCAGCTCTTGGTCTCTTCCTCAGCCTCCAGCTCAGAGTCAGCAGAGCACTGCAAAGGGTTTCATGGAAACCATCTGAAGCTTGGGTCAAATTCTTCCCATGACGAAGGGACAGAAAGCAGCAACAGGTACTTGAGAGAAAATGTTTTTGTTTTTCTTCTACACCAGGACGTCAGCCAGCACCAAAACTGTGACTTAAGTGCAATGGTCTGCGTAAGCAAGGGACACAGATTACTCACAGGGGTAATTCTATAGAATTAAGGTAAGTATTTTAATGAATATGTACCAAGAGTAAATGTTTACCTGTGGAATTTGTAAATATTTACACGTTCTTAAAACTGTTTTGGTTGGAAACTATAAAAGCCTTAGCACTAATACCTCACACAGAAGTGGCTGACAACCCTCTTTTTAAAAACTCACAGCCCATTTTTTATTTAATTGATGGGAGCCTTAGCAAACAAGGTTTCGAGTGAGAAGGGGGGGGAATCTACCAAATAAAGGGATGACACTTCAATACACTTATTTAGAGGTACCTCAAAGTGAGATGGAGGTAGCCAAGGAGAGTGAACTTTAGCCTGACCAAAAGAACCAGCACAAGAAACTCAAAGACGTGAGCAGACACATGTTGTAGAGAAGGGACTAAAGCAGAACGCTGAGCAGCTGTAGTCAGAGTGAAATAGCCTCAATGTGACTATATTTGTAACACAAAGCTTTTGTGCTTCCAACATTATCTAAAGGAGGTCAATCTGTAGAAAAATAAAGCAAAGACTAGAAAACTTTAAAAATACAGTCACTTCAGGAAAAAAAAAAAATCCAGGCCAAAAGAGATACCTGAGTACCATCTCTAACCAAAAAAATATTACACAAAGGGGTCTAAAGATCCTAAATCCATTAGCCTGGGATAGTAGAAACATTTCATTCTGAAATTATCTGATAGCAGACTGAAAATCTGCTACTCTTCCACACTTGCATCCTGCATGAAGAGTAGCAAACTCATGAGCCTACGGGCTTTATCTCATGATAGCTGGATTTGGCCTCCACTACATAACAAACTGAAGAAGGACCTTTACCAGCAACATTCCCCAAAAGCCAGGAATCAAAGATGAGAAATAACTCTAAATTGCTCTGAGGGGGAGGGCAAGGCAAAACTCAAGCTATTATTTCCAGACACACAAAAGAAAGCCTAGAGCTGCAGAGATGAAGACAAGGCAGATGCGCTTCAGCAGCACCCTTTATCAACAACAATTTAGACTTGGCAACAGCAACAAACTAAGATGTCAGAAACACACGTGCTGGAATGACATGCAAGAGCAACCAAACCTCAACCCCAAACGAGGAACCTGTCTCTTCTTGCTTTTTTCCAGAGCCTGTCAAAATCCTGCACCTGGATGTGTTCTAACTGGAAGGCGCATCTTCCTCTGAGGGGCAACTATCTTCCAAACTTCTCTGAAGTCTAACAGCCCTTCTTAAATTTAAGAAAAGGAGCCACTCATAGCTGGTAAAGTCTGAGAGGAACCATCAAGAGCTTACACATGGGATTCTCCTGGTACCTACTGTGCATTCATTCACCCATTCTCACATTCATCCAACAGTGAACATCTCTTACAGGTCTGAAGCGTGGCTGTGTGCTGAGGTGGCCACTTACCTCTCCATCAGCTTCTCTTTGTCCCAGTTGAAATGGCTAAGCAGTATTCGAGTGATAGTCGCTGGATTCTAGAAAAAGAACAGAAAATAAAGAAATCCTTGACTAACAGCTTGACCAAGTTGCTGTATTGGTAGGAGAACACCAAGGAGAGCTTTGAGTAAGCACACGGGGAAACCCTTGTGTCCCATAACATAATCCATGCAGACAATACGTATTAACACATACTGGGAAATAGTTTTTGACAGAGAGAAAGTTTTTGAAAATTATTTTTCTATCAACCAAAATATCTACAGAAAAGGAGAATATCATTGAAGACTTAAGGAGCAGCTTAGTTCCTGCTACTACAACAGATGTTGAAGTGCCAGCATCTCCATGTCCAGCATGCTTGCCTATTGTAAACCCAGAACGGTCATCCAATGCAGGAAGAGCTAATGGCAACCATCCCACTTTTGCCACAACTTCCCCACAATTTGCAGAACAAGAATATTCCTTGATTGTCCCAGCCCTGACCATCAAAACACTTGGGCTTGAAAACTCTCCCACAAAGGAACCAGCTGCCAATGGAAGAAGATGACGTCCTGTGAAGTTTGCAGATGTTCCTGAAGCAGCCCGAGAGCCAAAATATACTATCCAATGATACACCTAATGCAAGAAATACAGCCTGGAAAGGTCAGAAACAGGATCAGAAAGAAAAGCTGTACACAGTTTTCACTTGTATACAAATTTTTCTTCCACCTACACTTGTATCATCACCCAAGAGTTTGGTTGTGTGAGCTGAGAAATGCAACAAACCATCTGGCTCCTGTGACACCCCAGAGCCACGTTTTAATTCCCTAAATCCAGGCACTCCAGGCTCAGATTTAGGACCTTTGCCACAGGACTGAAGCAAGGGCAAGGTCCCGTGTACTTTGCCATTTGACACCAAAATGGAAGTTTGCCTCGGGGCCAACTTTCAACAGGGAAAGTAGGACAAAAACTAGCAACGTCATTTTCTGAGCCCGTGGGCTACAGCTACAGCTTGAAGCTGCCAAAAGCTGGTGGTGCCACCCAAAGCAGTGATCCCACCCTGTCCTTACCCTCAGCCTCCTCACTAGTCCACGCTAGCAGCCCGCATGAACGAAAGGAGCTTTAGATAGGTTAGAGCAGATCCCTGACTCGGTTCGTGTGGAGCTCCAGAAACAGCTGGTACTGCAAATCTGCTACACAGCCTGCGGCAGAAAATCCAGAAATCGGTATTGCCAAATGCTCTGTATTGTGAAAACGTGGTGCCAGGCCCCCTCTTCGAATGGGAGGCGAGCCCATTTTGGGGCAGATTTATCCACTTTCTTGCATCAAAAGCACTGATGGTACACCTGTAGGACAAGCTGAACTAGCTCACTGCTCTGATGGGAATTCTTTTCCCCTCTCTTTGTAGCTCTCAGCTAGACCTCACTGTGGAGATGCAACATGGATATGCCAAACATCTACCTTGAGGCAAAGGTGAGAAACAAAAGAGAAGAAAAACCAAGAAAAAGCTTTCTGATAACATCAGTCAGCAGAAAGCCTGCCCCAGAACTGCAGTACTGAACTTTCCAGTCAGTCCTACCACCAAGAAGGTGTATGGAAAAAGTGATCAAAGATGAAAATACAGTTTGGTAAACAAACTGATCTTCCCTCTAGAAAATCTCCATCCTGATGCATTGGTGTGCAGCTCTTCCCAACTACAAGCACTCCTCACTCAGCCCAGAGATCTGCCGTCTGTACAAAGAAACAGTATTTTCTGAATCTTTCAAGCAACACCACTGCTTTAAATGAGCCTGAATTCTTGTCCTGCCTTCTGCTAGAGCAGCCCACTTGGCACTCTGTGAAGGCTTTTGGGAATACCTGTTGATCACTTAAGAGTCAACTGAGGTAGGGGGGGTCTCTGCTTGACTTTTCAAAGATGACAGACAGGTTCCCCCCACGCTGAAGGGTGAGTTGTGTCATGTTAATCAGGAGCTAAAGTGGTCTGCAGTGATTAGCAAGTGCAAAAAAGCAAATCAAGCAAATGCCACTCACTGAAGGACACAAAGAACGAGAGGCTCTGGTTTCATCGGTGGTTTCTCTGTTTTCCCAACGAAGCAGCACTGCAGCTTTCCAAACCAAGCTTCCCTCCATCAGACCCCTCCAAAGATCCCAGCATCACCAAAAAGAAAGCTGGTTTCCCATGACAGCAGTGTGGGAATTTAGGATTATACTCCAGAGAGTCGACTACACGTTATTTAGGATTATACTCCAGAGCCCAGCACTGTTGGCTCAGCATACTGTCGCATAAATAAGGCATGAGGGGTAGTTTTTACTGCCTGGTTGGGCTTTAGCTTCACCACAGTGGTTGCTTCAAAGTGTTAATTTAAAGCGAGGGGGAAAAAAAAAAGAAATAAAAAAAAAAAAAAGAAACCCCAGCAGCATGACAAACTGCTGCCAGAAATAGCTGGGCTGCCTGCTTTTGCTGCTCACCACATCCACCATGTAGTATTTAACGTTTAACCAGTAGTTTTGTGAGATGGGTACAACTGTGTGGCCAGCAACACAATACGAGCCAGTATTACAAGCAGCTACGTGCTGTAACTCACTCATATGGGGTTCAAAAGACAACAAAATCATGCTTCAAGCTCTGTTTTGACACCGTTTCTGCTACCGCTTTCTCCAGGAACCCTGATGCTGCTGCGTGAGCCCTCAGCTCTGCCTGGTGCTGTGAAAAATTAAGTACTGAACCAAAGCCACATTACACAGCACAAATACCTTATAATTTCTGTTCTGAAACTGAGTGGGCTTCCCACTTGGCACCACAGGACTGCTGCCTATGACTCTTATACCACAAAGATCAGCCAGGAGCAGGCTACAGCGCTGCTCAGGCGGGATTACCACTTAGGCTTGAAGCCGCAGCAGGGAGAAAGGTGCTTTTACGAAGCGTATTTTCTGTAGGAAACAAAAAATGAAACCATTCCAAAGCCAAGCAGCCAAAGAGGCAAGGGAGGGAGAAGTGAAAGATCCCCTGCAGGCGTGGCTGGGGGAAGGCTGAAGCAGCAGCTCTGGTTCACAACAGCCACCTTTTCAGTTTGACACGAGGGAGCTTGCCGAGAGTCCCCGGATCTCCGGATAGGAGCGAAATCCAAGGGAAGCAGCCATTTTGTTGGGATTCTCAGGATGCTCTCACAAGTAACAAAACATTCTCGTAAAGCCCTGCCCAGACCAACACAGACAGTCCTTCGACAGGGATGCCAGGGGGGTTTTTTGCAGGTTAACAAAGCAGCCAAGTCTCAAAGATGCTTCATCCAGTTCCCACTTAACCCTTTTTCATGGGAGAGGTTTACCTTTGCTGTCTTTAGCTCAGGCTCACCAGTGCAAGTGAGAGCTACAAATCCCTGCAAAGGTCTGGACTTCTCCAAAGAAGCATTACTAATCAAAATTCCTTAATTTAATAGAATTTAACTGAACTGGAAGCTTGATCACTGATATCTGATTTGAATTCTTTTTGCTGTCAAAATAAGTACATATTGGAAGGAGGAACATGGACACATTTAAATGTATAAATGAATTATAAATTAGAGACTATTAGGACATTATCTTAAATCAGAATTTCCAAGCAGCATAATTTGCTGAGTGACAGTTTGCAATACTTGAGCCATTCATGTTTTGATCCGTCAAGACGAGCTGCACAGTTAATTCTTGCAGTTATTATCAAGAAAAGCATATTTTAGTGTTCAGCTTCTCACCACACACCAGGAGTAAGTTCCCATTTCCATTTCAGCATTCACTGAGGATAAAAATCATTTCAGAGCAACTTAAGCTCAGTTCTCCAGGAAAATCCTTTCCCACCTGTTTATCACAGTATTGATAAATACTTCGGTTTGTTCCTCTCCATTTCAGGGCTGTTTTTGTTTTCTAAACAGGACAGTTCTTGCATTTCAAGTTTTTACCCCAGCTACTGCCCTCCTGAATCAAACCAGATGCTGGAGAAACATCTCAAACATCTGTAGATGGTTCAAACCTCAGCAACATCCACAGCTGTGACACAAGACCACCTTTAAACTCTCCAGCAATAGCAAACCAAATCATTTCACATCGGTTGACAGCAAAGAAAAGAGTTTTGCTTGGTGGTGACATGTGGCACATGCTGGTGGAGCAGCAAAGGGCCATCAGAAGAGCAGCCCAGAACATATCTCTCTGAAACCAAGCTACATGAAGATTTGCTCCAGCAAAGTGGCATCTAGGGACAGTGTGACACACCACCATCGATATTTAATCAGTCAAAACCCCAGCCTTTGCCAAGAAGAAATTCCAGCAGCCTGCCGAGCACGTGGATGAAACAGCATCTCCAAGGCTTGTCACCAAGCTAATAAAATAACCAACGTATCACACTATGTTGGCAGGTAGAGTAAGAGCAACCTCACCATGAGAGGATTTAGAAGATTTCTTGATGAATTCCGAGTGATTTCTTGCTTGCCGTAGCTGTAGCTCTCACTGATGGTCTGGGGGCCAGCATCATCAGATGTCTCTCCCCAGTGCTCTCCAGATGACTCCATGTCATGGAGGTGCTGTGCAAGTAGTACATGCCCCAAACCAAGATCGATACAGGAACAGGCAATACTTGGCTGTGTTAAGTGCCACCACTGAGGAGTGGAAACCACCCAGAAGTCTTCAATTACTGCAAAACCCAACAGGTTTGCACGCTGACCTTCCTTTCTGAAGGACAACAGCTCCTTCTCCACCCACAGCACAGAACAAGGGCAACCAACACAGCAGACCAGGCAGCATACAGCTGCTTCCATCATCAGGTAATAACTAAGTGGACACCAGCCCAAAATTCTGCAGTAACTAGGTCATCTTCTCTGTTTGAACACCACTGCTCTGCCCTTGCATCTCTCCCAGCCCCATACTGGTAACCTTAGACATGAAGAGAGGAGAGTGTTTTAAACAAGCTTTTAGCTTGAATTATGTTGTGGTGAGACTGTCATTGTGAGGTTTCCATCGTTTTGCAAGTGCTCTGAGCCACCTTCAGTTGTGACGATCCATTTGCCTCTATTCTTTCAGGAAACAATTACAGTA